ACTTCTATGGGCAAGTAAGGTAGTCTCATTCATTCCCCCTTTTTCTGACTTCCTGGAACAGCCCAATAAGATGCTGGGACAGAGAGGGATTATGGGAACATGATTTCTTCCCTGGAGGATCCAACAGCACAGTAGTAGCTCTTTCGGTTATTTGTGGTCTCATATGGTGGGTATGTTCTGATCCTTGATCCACAGCTGGTAAGTGTTAGAAAGTACTTTAAGATGTTTTGGTCTCACTTCCTTATTTCACGGATGACGAGACTGAAATCCAGAGGGGTACTCTAGTCACAGAGGCTTACTAATCCCAGAGCCAGAATTTTCCTCTGGTTTCCTTAGGAGCCACTGCATTGGACTTCTACCATCCTGTACTACTGACTATTACATTTCATCTTGTGTTGGGTTAGAAGTCATTGTGTAGATACAAAAGAGAAAAAGTTGATACAAAATCATCTTTAGAAATAGAAGACAATGCATTGTATCTGTCTGTACACACAGTGGCCACAGAAACTTTTACCCCAAGATGTCTTTGTGGTTTACTTGCTGCCATTCTTAGTCCTTGGGAAGTTTACTCTGATCATTTCTAAAGGAACTGAGAACAAGCCCACTAATTTTATGTTCCACAGCAGATGGTAGAGATACAAGCATCAAAACCATAATAGTGCAACATAGTTCACTCAGACAAATAAGTCCTCAAACAAAACAACTTTCACTTTCATATAATGCAGACTTCATCTCTTCTCATATTATTGGGTTTTCCCCCCATGCTTATATTATTCCCTGTATTTTAGAAATAAAATAAGCATTATTTTCTCTATATTTTAAAAATATTTATTTATTTATAAAATCTTCACCTGAGGATATGTTTATTGATTTGAGAGAGAGAGAGAGAGAGAAAGTGGCGGGGGGGGGGCGGGGGAGAAAGAGAAACATTGATCAGTTGTTTCCATTATCTTGTTTCCTTTGTGCCTATTTTTTAGGGTGTGCTTGTCATTGTATTAAAATGTTATTTGTAGATATGATTTGAGGCCTAGGATGTTAAGTCTTTTCTATCTGAAATAGTTGACATTTTTACTTTTAAAAGCCTACGGGTAATAAGAATCCAAAATCACCTTCAGCGAAATTTAAGAATTGGGGTTTTGTGAACCACTGAAGTGATTCAAAAGTACCATCTGCATGAGGGCTGGTTTACTTTTGGTTTACCCGAACTCCAAGAATGCAATTTTGGGGAATCCCAGCTTATCGAGGAAATGGTCTTCTAATAGATATCTCACTTTTTACACTCTGGGAGTTGAAACATGAAAACAAAAGTTTGAATATGGGAGAACAGCAAGTGCTCTCAGAGTTAACAGCAGTGACTAAGCTCTGCTTATCTCTCTGGGTTCTGGTTCTTCAAATTTAACCTAGTAATTTCTTCTCTTTGTGTCAGCTCTATGTGTCTCTTAATAATATTTTTAGACACTTTGTTCAGCATTTTAGTTTTTGTATATGTGAATTAATAGAATAATCTGGATTGCCATAACAGAGAACTAGAATCCTTGTTTGTATATTCACAAGCAAACCCCAAGTTGAAAATCTATTTCTTAGTAATATGAGAGATACAGATTGAAGTCAACAGATATTGAGAAAAGTGAGGGATTTCTGGACAAGATGGAGGCACAGATAGAAACCCTTCCCTTACTTGCACAACCAAAAGGAGGATAACAACCAATCTAAAATCAATAAACAGCTAGAAGTGCCAGAAAATCAAACTGCACGGAATTCTGACAACCAAAGAATTAAAGAAACAGTCAATTAGAACAACCAGACCAGTAAGAACCCACATGGGCTGGACTGGCTGAATGGGAAACTGAGACTCAGAACTCACTGTGAACTGTGGAGGTTGCCAAGGTGGGAGAAACTCCCAGTCTCACATGAGAGTCCATTGGAAAGTGGGCTAGAGATGAACAGGTGAGCTGCATTGTTCCCAATCTGAACCTTCCTCCACAGATACCACTGTAGCACAGCAAGGAGGGTTGCCCTGCCCTGGTGCATACTCAAGGCCCAGCCCCCTTACAACTTAACAGGTGTGCCAAGACAAAGAAATATGGCCAAATGAAAGAACAGGACAAAGCTTCAGAAAGAGAACTAAGCAATGAGGACATAGCCAACCTATCTGATGAAGAATTTAAAGCCCTGGTAATTAAAATGCTCACAGAACTGATTGAACTTGCTCAAAAAATGAAAGAACAAATGAAACACACCCAAAATGAAATAAAGTAAAATATTCAGGGAACCAACAGTGACAGGAAGGAAACCAGGACTCAAAGCAATGCCTTGAAACCAAAGGAAGAAATAAACATCCAACCAGAACATAATGAAGAAACAAGAATTCAAAAAATGAAGAGAGGCTGAGGAATCTCTGGGACAACCCAAAACATTCCAATATATGAATTATAGGGGTGCCAGAAGGAGAAGAACAAGAGTAAGAAATTGAAAACTCATTTGAAGAAATAATGAAGGAAAAATTCCCCAATCTGGCAAAGGAAATAGACTTCTGAGAAGTCCAGGAAGCCCTGAGAGTCGGAAAGAAGTTGGACTCAGAGAGGAACACACCAAGGCACATCATCATTAAGTTACCCCAAGATTAAAGATAAGAGAGAATCTTAAAAGAAGCAAGATGAAAGGAGAGAGTTACCTACAAAGGAGTTCCCATAAGGTTATCAGCTGATTTCTCAAAAGAAACCTTGCAGGCAAGAAGGGCCTAGAAAGAAATATTTGAAATCATGAAAGGTAAGGACCTACATCCAAGATTACTCTATCATTTAAAATGGAAAGGCAGATAAAGTGCTTCCCAGATAAGGTCAAGTTAAAGGAGTTCATTATCACCAAGCCATTATTATATGAACTGTTAAAGGGATTATCTAAGAAAAAGAAGATAAAAAATATGAACAGTAAAATGATAACAAATTCACAACTATCAACAAATGAACCTAAAAGAAAAGACAATGAAAACACAAACTAAGCAAACAGCTAGAAGAAGAACAGAATCAGGGAAATGAACATCACATGAAGAGATTTTAGTGGGGAGGGGGAAGGGAGGAATGGGGGGAGGAAGGTACAGGGAAGAACAAGCATAACTGGTAGGCATAAAATAGACAGAGAGAGAGATAAAAAATGGTATAGGAAACAGAACTGAAAGAACTTATATGTACAACCCATGGACAGGAACTAAATGGGGGGAATGCTGGAGGGTTGGGGGGTGCAGGGTGGAGAGGGGGTAAAGGGGGAGAAATTGGGAAAACTGTAATAGTATAATCAATAAAATATACTTAAAAAAGAAAAAAGAAAAGAAAAATGAGTAACTCTGATAAATCTTATATAAAATTAAGGCAACTAGTGCAAGTAGAGTTGTGGTAAATGAATCCTCCTGCATAATACTAGTCATACTATAAATAGACCTTCCAGTAATATGGTAATACACAGTGTCATAATAACATTTAAACAATTTGACCAAATATCATAACATTTATATAAGAGCAAAGTGTTAAAAACCCAATATTTAATATTAGAAATGCTTTAACAAATTATGATAAATTAATGTTATAGCCTTTTAAAGCAATCATTAAAAAGGATAATTATGATGACTGTCAAAATGGAATGTTTATGATATAACATTAAATGACAATACAGGAACACAAAATAATATGTTTGCTATATGAAACAAGTATATATCTGAAAGATAAAAAGCAAAAATACACAGATATTTCAGAATTAAAACAGATTTTTTTAATGTATTTTTTTATTCCTTACTTGAAGATATGTTTATTGATTTTTAGAGAGAGAAGGAGGGGAGAGAAAGAGAGGGGAAAAAATCAATGTGAGAGAGTAACATAGATCAGTTGCCTCACATAGGCACCCTAACTGGGGATTGAATCTGCAACCTAGGTATGTGATCTGACTGGGGATTGAACCTGTAAACTTTTTGTGTGCAGGACAATGCTCCAACCAACTGAGCCACCAGACTAGAACAGAGATTTTAAAACAAGTAAAAAACCATTGTGGTAATATTTTTCCCAAACAATTTCAGCATAAAACTTTCTCACATTAAAAAAAAGATCCAAAATATTTTTAAAAGGAAGGCAAAAAGCAGTTTGAATTTATAATCTATTAACTTCGAATCTGCATCTAGCTCAAAACCATTTCAGGTTTTTCCTTTTGTTATCCTAAGTAGCTCACAAAAACAACCTTGGCTTCCTATAAGCTTAAAATTTATCTGAAAGAATGAAACAGTAAGTGAAAATCTAGGGCCTTAAGTTTTTTATCAGAAATAAAACTGAAAGGAAACCATTGATATAGTTTTCAATGGATGAGTTTCAGAGAAGACACACATTTCTATCATTTGAAAATGATTCATCTGTTCTTTAAGCTCTAGCAGGACAGTATAATCTAAATACATATTTAAATACATTTTTAGTTTAAGCTATTTGTACTTTTAAAAGATTTTTCTTAACTACATCATTCCCCAAATCTCTCCCCCAACTCTCCTTGAATAAGTGCTAATCCTCCTTCAATTTCAATGATAAAAGTCATTTCCTCAAAGTGGCATTTTCTGATTCTCCACTAAAATTCAAACAAATCCCACCACCTTTATTTGATTAGTACTCCATTCCTTGCACAAATATGGTGAGTTACTGCATATTTATTTGTTTATCATCTGTTTCCAACATAGGAGCTGCCAAATGTCAGGGACCATATCTGTTTGATTTGTACTTTGTAAATATATTACCTAATATATTGCATATTATATATTCATATATGACAAACACATGTGTGGTTAGGTTTCTCCTAGGGCACAGTTTTAACTATTGCCATGTTCTTTGTTGTTGTTGTGAAGTTCTGTCATTTTGGTGCAATAAGGGTCACTTTATGAAGAGAGTATTACTTTTGTGTTCAAATATAATTACTAAAATTATCTCTGCACAAAATATCACTTTGACTTTGTTTTTTCCCCTTTAATCCAGGAGAAACCAAACATTCTGCCAAGTCTGAAATGATTTCATATCACAATGGAGGCGTACAAATTTTATGCAAGTGCCCTGAGGATGTTCGGCAATTCAGGTTGCAGTTGCTAAAAGGGACTCAAGTATTCTGTAATCTCGCTAAAGCAAAGGGAAGCGGAAACACACCACCCACCGAGAACCTGAAATCCTGTCAGTTATCCAATGATAGTGTCTCTTTTTTTCTGAACAACTTGGACAGTTCTCATGCCAGCTATTACATCTGCAATCTATCAATTTTTGATCCCCCTCCTTTTCGAGAGATTGTTACCCGAGAGTATTTGCATGTTTATGGTAAGACGTTTTCATCTTCGGAATGTAATGTGCATTTGTACTTTGACAACTTTTCTCACTCACAAAAACAAACAAGTATCTTTTGTGTTGAAGTTCATGTAGGTGCAATTGATGGCAATCATTTATGATGAAAATATGCAAAGATGATTTATTAATAATAATTAGTATTCATCAATATTATCCAATTTAATCCATGTAAACTGATGAGTTAGCAATAGGTTATGTTGTCTTTAAAACACATATGCCATTGAAAATCAGGAAAATGAAGACAAATACTGAAATCCATGACTTAATGACTATTACTTCTATTTACTTAACACTTATATTATTGATTTTATGCTTGGTTTGTGGGCTGTAATGAGATGACTGAAAAATAAGTTTTATGTCATCAATTTTCCTGCTTATTCTTTTACAAATATATAGACAGAGAAGTCCTTTTTATTAATCCTATTTATAAACATGTATAGGCATAGAATCTCTTAGGTTTTAGGTTTTGGATTCTTGCTACAAAATTGAAATGATGTCATTTATTATTTACTGGATTTCATGGTTGTAGTGAAGACAAGCTCATTTGATTAAATCGCACTTTTAAATTTGGTAAAAGAACTTGTGATTCAGCACTGAAAGGGAAGATTTCTTAGAACTTTTTCTTAACGTACCTTCTTTTCTAACCCAGAATCACAGCTTTGTTGCCAACTGAAGTTCTGGTTACCCCTGGGATGTGCAGCTTTTGTTGTCATCTACATTTTTGGATGCGTATTTTTATGTTGGCTTACAAAAAAGGTGAGCAATGTCTGTCTCTTCTTGCATCTGCTTTACTGAGAAATATCAGTGGTTATTTACTCATCATAGTACGTATTACTCTTGCCAGAGTAAACTGATCAACAAATAGACAATTTCTTTTTTATCAAGATATAGCCACTAATTAAACTACTAACTTGAAACAGAAATTTATCTTAGAGATGCTTTATTTAAAAAACTATTCAATGGCATTACTACATGACAAGATATATGCTATATATTCAATAAAAATGAGGCCAATAAAAGACAAAAAGGAGAAAGGTAAAAACATAAAAATAATTGTTTCTGACTTTTAAAAATTATTTAACATGGATTGCACATTTGATTCTAAGCTTCCTACAAGTCAGGACAAAGATGAAAAGTTATGTTTCACTCAGTTGGTCAATTAAGAAATAATCAGTGAGAAAGTCTTATAAGGTACCAGTAGTAGCTGAGAAGTAAATGGCCAGCTTCTTTGTGTGGTAAATTATTAGAACTCCTTGTTTTTTAAAGAAAACCACTGAAAAGTTATGCAGAAAGATAACACAATAACAATAATGACAACAAGAATCTTTCTGTGCTAAGAGTTCTTTTGAGTCTTTCACAACACAGGTTCTCAAAGAACTTATGCCATCCTGCATATTACTCAAGTATGCTAATACTCAAGTGTATCCACAGTGTGATCATTGGTCAGACACTATGTGTGTCTATGCCAGGATGGAATATGAAAAGAGAGATAAAGAAGGAAGAGAGTGCGATAGGGCCCATGATCTAAATGGACTGGGGAAAGGATGATAAAGGCAAATATGAGGAAGTTAGTTCAGCAGAAATATTCATATTTACTTGTCAATATTATTCTCCTACTTAGCCTGAAACCAGGAGCCCAAGTCCCGTTACAACATTTGTCACATAGCACTTCAACAAAGAATAGACAAAAATAAACAAATAATAAAGCAAAAATAAGTAAACAAACCAGAAAACAGGAATGGAGATAGGGGAGAGCAGATGACAAACCAAGTTTTCGCTTTTTCTTCCAGAAGTGTCCGTCCAGCGTGCACGACCCTAACAGTGAGTACATGATCATGGCAGCAGTGAACACGGCCAAGAAGCCTGGACTCACAGGTACAGCGACATCTAGGGGTTTGGGAGGGAAGAGCATGCTTCACAGTAAGCTTGGGATTTTAATTTATGGTTTTGAAGGGGAAAGGCCTCTAAGTTTGAACTGTAGTATTTTCTGTGAAAAGCTGAATTTTTATTTTAACTGAAGTTACAATTTCTGAAGTGCATTAAAAACAAACAGGTTTGTAAACTATCATTAAAAATAACCAAACAAGTTAATAAACCATTATTGTATCATGGCAATTTTCCAATTGATATTTAAAAAAATTTAGATGATTCTAAGACTTCCCTGTTGAAAAGTTCATTAAGTCATACAATGAAATTTACTCAATATCACTTAGGTGCAAAAATCCGAGTGAGTCACTGTGGGAGACATGTAATTCATGGAGACTTTTGACTGAGATTTGGAAGAGAGATCTGGGTTGGTGTTACCAAGGGGGAGAAGGAAGAATTGGTGAAGATATTGTTAAAATGTGCACACTTAAAGAACCTTGATGTTATACAAGGCCAGTTAGGTGGGACTTTGACCTTTTTTATTAACAGTAAGTGTTATCAACTTGAGTGTCATTAAGTTGAGGAACATTCAGAAAGTTTGAAGCACCTATTGTGGAAAACGTGTAAGTTTCATGCTTTTGAGGTTGGAATGATATGAGCTATGCAGTGAGATAGAAGGCATTGCATTTTTGCCACAACTCAGTGGTGAAAAATTTATGTTAAAGAAACACACAAAACATTTGTCATCATAGAATTAAAATATGAAAAAGAACTTTTTAGTCCATATCCTCATTTTTTAGATGCTCAGAATGTTCAGTGACTTCTTTGTTGCCCAGAGATTGAATACCATAGCTTTGCTCCTAGCAAAGAATTTGTGTTTCATGTAACTTTGCTATTGAAAAAAATCTCTCTCAACCTCTTTGCTTGTAATAATATGTCCACCTTGATTTGGAACCCTGAGAGCAGACCCTGAGACAGATGCTTGGGTGCAAGTAGTTTAGATGGAAGGTGACCTCAAGAAGAAGGGGTTATGGAGGGCAGGTGAGGCAGGTAAGGAGGAAAAGCAAAAGGAGGTTGCATTACCGAGATCTCAGCTAGAGGTCACAGGACCTCCGAGAAGTATACAGGTATCTCTCATAAGTGGGGCACTTATCCACTGGCTCCCATCACCACTGGTTTGAGGTTGCCTGCAGGGCATATTAACCTCCCTCATCCCTGAGCTGTGCCCTGTGCTTGAAATGAACTGGCTCACAGGTGTTCAGAGGAAGGCCTGAGGCAGAAAAGCAGAGAAATGTGTGATGGGGCTGTTGCACTGAGAGTACTAGGACAGTCAACATGCACAGAAGTGTCCACCCCAGCTGTGGCTGAAATCAGAGGTGGGTGGTTCCACATCCCACCTACCAAGCCCAGCATATATCTTATAATTAGATTTAAGTAAATAATTGTGAAAATGGTCAGAGTGTAAGCTTCTTGAGGGAAGGCAGGATCTCTCTTCTCTATATTCTAAAAGCATTACACATACACAGTTCCAAGCAAAGCCTGGCTCAGCACCTCTGTCAAATATTTATTGAATGATTATTATGTGAATAGCACTGTGCTATTGGATAGAGGAAGGGAAGGCCCAAGACAGTCCTCATTTTCAGTTTGCAATATCACTGGGAGAGGCGATATGTTTGTATGGAGGGTGGGGTCACATAACAGTGTCAAAAGTACTCAATTAATGTGAGAGGGAGAGTTCAGATAACATCTGCTATAGGAGTTGAGAGTGGGCTGAGTAAAGCTTCATGGAAAATGTGGAACTGGTACTGGGTCTTAAAGGATAGAGGAGAGTTTGGATGGGGTTTACCTGTGTGTGTACACATGTGTGTTTGCGTGTTTATTAGAGGCAGAGAAGAGGGGAAAGCTTGTTGAAGGGAATAGGCACATGGAGAGCTTTTAACGAATTTATGCTAAATTTCTGTTACAGATGTTACTCGTAACTTGGGACTCTCTAGTCCTCCAGCATGAACCTCGTTGGCCATCTCCCTGCTACCTGAAGTGCAAGATTTCCTTATTTCCTGGACCATGGAGCATCTGACTTGATTCGACTACATACATCTTCTACTGGTGTTTGTTCAATCTGGACCAGTGACTGCATCAGTCAACAGAGATTTTAACAGACTGCCTCAGTGCTGTTGAGTTCTATTCAAACAAACGTCCTTCCAGAACTAGCTTTCCAGAAAGCCTGGCTCATGCGTGCTCAACAAATGGACCTCGCTGGACTGGAATCACTGTCTTCACATCTGCTTCTAGCAGCACATCAGCCAGTAAACAAGCACATCTACAAATGTTTTTAAAATGTGTTTAGGGTACTAAATCTACAAAGTGAATGGGCAGCCAAGGGCCAGCATCTGTCCACATTTCATGAACAGACTACCTCTTCTCCTTATAGGATGCACATCCCTCTTTTAATCAGACAGTAGCAGGAGAGGCTACAAAATTGTAGCTATTTTATTTCTGAGGTGTCAACATGTAACTATAGTGTACTAATACATGAGTACACAGTACTCTTTTCCAACTTCTGAACCTCAGTCCACCACTCCACCAAGAGTGTAGATGCCTTCTACTCTCAGTTTTCTGTTTGAACACACTTCTTCATGACTACTTGACAGATACCTTGAGTAGGGAGCTATGTCTATATTTTTCCTCTACTGTTCAATAAAATACATATATATATAATATACATTAGTATTTTATATATAGTCACAGCCTATATTCTTTCTACAAGTATATTTCTGCTCCCAGAAAACATCTTCCCCCAGATATTCAGTTAAAATGGTATACTTTTTTGACTTGTTGGTATTAGTTGTAGGAAACACTGACCAGAATGAAAAGTGACTTCATTTTATGACTCTGTTTTCTACAATTACCTATGTTTTCAAGGTGCTATTAATTACAAGCTAGGCTATTTTTGTAGATCATATTACAATTGCAAACAAATAAAACCTGTAACTGTCAAACATTGTCCTGGGATAGAGCCAATGACCTATTCAGCAAGAAAACTACAGTTTCTGGACGTCACTGCCAAACTACAGTCATGCTGCCACTGGCGTTGACAGGTTGAAATAACCTCTATTAACCTGGAGCAGGGTTGAGAGACTCCCCTGATCTAGAGACAACCAGGTATGCTTGCCCCCAGAGACTGAAGTCAGCCTGGGGACCATAGTGGGTGAGCCTGCATTTGTACCACCAGGATGTATGAAGAAGCACAGACATGTCAGAGGACTTCTGCATGACTGCTGCTCCTCGAAATCATTCAGCCTGGAAACTGACCTGGCCTTTTAAGATAGTCCTCCTTCAAATATAATTTGATTAGAAAGATTCTTCAATACCTGGAATGTGAATATTCTTAGCCTAGATATTTTCTCTATTTTCTGTCTGCTTGCCAAAGACTTCTAAAACAGCCAATGCATATTCAATATTTTTAATAGTTTATCTTCATTGTATTTTTTTCCATTACTATTGATCACCCTAATACCCTGTCCCAACTCCACCCCCACCCCTGCAATCACTGCCTGTTGTCTGTGTCCATGAGTTCTTTTTCTTTTTTGCTCAATCCCACCACTCCCAGCCTCCCTTTCCCCAAGACCAAAATAGAAATGGATTCATAGATAGAGAACAGGATGACAACTCAATGACATTTTTAACTTTAGGTGAAATGGGATTATTTAGTAGTTTTATAATTTGTAATTGCCTGCTTATAGATTACTTTCTAAAAGACACCTGATTTGTCATTATGCATGCTTATATTATTTTAAGAATGTGTAATGCTGGATGTGTACAGTACAATACTGAATTTGTAATTTGAATCAAGTATGGTGTTCTCTTTTCAACGGACTTGAACAACCTAGCTGGCCTTGCAGAGGTGTTCCCTAAGTTATTTGCAGCTTTCTGTGTGGAGGATCAGGGTGGGAGGAGATCTGGTTGTCTAAGCTGTGCCCCGCAGCATCCTCGTCCTCAGCATGGGACATTTCAAAGGGAATTATTGAAAGATACAATTTCTATGAAATAAAAACTGGTTTAAAGAGGAGCTACCTATGAACTGGATTTTAGTAGTAGTAGGAAGCTAAAGAATAAACATTTGATATGCAGCCACTAAAAATACATCTCAGTGTTTTCTTGGGGGGAGGAAATGATTACTTTAGCAAATTTGTCATTGTTCTTAAAGATAGTTCTATTGCTTAGAACTACCACTCTTTTCATCACTCTTTTCATTTTCTTTCTTTCTCTCTCCCTTTCTTTCTCCCTCCCTCCCTTCTTTCCTATTTTTTTAAAGTTTGAAACAACAACATACTTATGAAAAAGTTGGAAGTATAGCAAGACAACTGCTCTTTTCCTGAGTCGGTTTTCTAACCTAATGCCCTATTACCTCTGAATAGTATGTATTTCTTATAAACAAGAACACTCTCCTCCATTATCACAATCCACCAACATCAGAAAGTTAACGTTGATACATTGCTACTAATCTGACCCTCAAACTGCATTCAAATTTTCCCAGGTGTCCTCAAACTTTATAGCAGAAGATTCTATTCAGAATCTTCTCTTTCATTTAGTTTTCCCATCTCAATTGTGTCCTTCACTGTGGACATTTTCTCAGTCTGTACTTTCACGGCTTTGGCTGTTTTGAAGATTACAAACTGTTATTTTGTAGAATGTTCCTTGACTTGAGTCAGTCGGATGTTTCTTCATAACAAAATCAAGTTACTGATCTTTGGCCAAACAAAGAAAAGAGAAAAAACAAAGAAGTGATGCCACATTATTTTAAGTGCATCCTATCAGGTGGCTCCCCATCTCAATTTGTTACATTACTTACAATGTTGATTTTGGTTACTTAACTAAGGTGTTGTCTGTCAAGTTCTCCACTCTGAAGTACTCTTTCCTCCTTATAGTTAATACTTAATGCAGAGGTACTTTGAAATTTTGTACCTCTTCTGTTCCTCATCAAAGTTTCAATTTATTCATTTGTTCATTTATATCTATACGGTTTCCTAATTTGTCCAATGAGTAAACGTGTCACTATCACTGTTTTATTTTTATCCTTAAATTGTCCCATTCTTGGCTCGTGGGAGACTATTCAAACTAGCTCTTGTGTCTGTCTAACAAGTCCCCATCATTCTTTCAGCACTCCCTTGCTTTCTGGCAGAGCAAGGCATTCCAGACTCAGCTCATACTTTCCCTGTCTCAGTGCTGGAATGTGCAGTTTCTCCAAGGAGCCCTGGTATCTTTTGAGTGGGCAAAGATTTTTAGCAGCCAAGATCTAGGCATTAGTTATACTTATTACTATTGGGATTTCCTGGCTCCTAGGCCCCTCAGGGAACAGACCTGGGCTACACACACACACACACACACACACACACACACACACACATAGATATAAAAGTGTTTGCAAATGTATGCTTATGGGTATGTATACATGTATATAATATGCATATTTAAATATAGATGTAAATATGTGTAGGTACTCACACATGTATATATTAATATATGTGTAAATATAAAATGCATGTAAGTATAGATGTAAATATGTGTATATATAACACACATACACACCTTACCATCTATATTTGTATCTGCACTTATCTATATAAGTTTATACTTTTGCCCTTAATTCCAATACAACACTATAGGGTTCATCCTAGATTTATTCCTTTCTGTTATTTATCCCTCTTATGACATTGAGAAACCTCACTCTCTTTATCCTTAATATGTTTGCATATTTGATCAATCTGCCATTATTTCATCAACTTCTCATCTTGGTAGTGCCCCCTCCCCCATGTGGTAGCTCCCTCTCTCTGCCTGGGCTCCAACTCTTTGATAGGGGAACTCAAGAGTTAAATTTTAGTGTCAGTCATAGTCAATAGTCTTAAGTGGAAAGCTATTATTCTAGGAACAGCAATTCAACCTGTGTGCCCCAACGTTCTGCAAGCAAGGGAGATTGTATCTGAGCCATTGTGTTTCAGGGAGAGAAGTTCTTTGTCTGACTCAGACAAAAAACTGTTGATCAGCGATAAAGAAATCCTAGGAAAATTGCCACAGGACTGATTAACCTTTTTCCAAACTCCTTACCTACCTTTCTTTCTCACTACAAAAAAAAAGGTCAGCTTGATAAGATGAGATACTAAGATGGTTTTTGAGGTTACATAAGCCATCATTTTCTCAGATGGCCAGCATCTGAATAAAGTACCCATAAGTATTCAATCCTTGTCTCTACTTATTTGTTCTGGTAGTGGCAGGCAGCATGAATGCTGACTTTTCCAGTTTCATCTTGTCTAGAACACACCATCCTGGAGTTGGCCAGCTTGAGCTCCAACTCTCCATGCTGGGCTCTCCTACCCCATGAATGCCCTTCCCACTCTGAGCTCTAACACCTAAGGCAGGTGTTTTTTCCATCCCTAGCTCAGGCCACTGTGGCTCCCTTGGCCTGGGGTACCTAACCTTATGGTCCATGTTAAGATCCAATTGCCTATAGTGATTACTGGTTTGATACTCTTTATTGACAGCCATTCCTCCCCAGTGTCTCTCTTTCTTACTTCCTTACTGGTGTTTCTCTCACTTCCCACATAAACTGTTTCTCTTTCTTACTTCTTTGTTGGTGTTACTTTTGCTTACATTCATATTGGTGTTCCATTCACTTCTCACATAAACTGTTTGTCTCAGCCTCCATTTTGGGGGAACTCCAACTTAGACACCCTATGCCCCTTCTATTTGCCACATAGAGGAAACAGTGGTTTTCCACTGTTTTAGCCCCTGGTGCTTTGTCCTCTCTTGTTTGTTCCTTGATTCCATCTATACCTTTGGAAAGAATTCCTGCATTCCCCTCTTTACTTAACCTTTAGGTTATTAGTTATTTCTGTAGAGGCTCTGACTGAATCACACTCAAATATGCTTCATTTCCCTTCTGTGACATAGAATCCTACTAGGATCTGACCTCCTTCTTTAGGAATATCAGCTTGAATTCCAATGAATAAAAATCTCTACCTTGTTATATCTTTTTCTTTGTTAAATTCACATTCTTCATAAGAGGGTGTAACAGGGTGCAGCCAAGAGGGGGGTCCCAAATAGGGATTTGGAATGGGGTCCAGAACTCAAGATGTCCAGAAAATATTAGGATGTCCTCACCTCTTCCCCCACAAGTATGAGTTGGGGGAAGGGACACATGGAGCAGGAACAGCAGGGCTGTTTTATACAGCCACAGCTTTACAGCTAATCCATGACATGGTCATTTAGCATATCTATAACTTTTAACTGGTTGCATAGATATGTTAAATAGCTGTGACTGTGCTCTGAGTCAGGGGGATGGAAGGAACTTCCCTGCCCAGACCTAACTGGGGGGCAGGTCCCTGGAGTTACAGCACCTGCATGAGAGCTTTGAAGTGATTGGCTCCATGCCATGGGGCCAGCTTGCCCAGACCTGCTATGGCAGCCCAGTAAACTTGGAATAATACAGGAATGCTGGCAGGTATAACTGATTGTAGGAGGAGTTGGAAATGAGGGTACAGAGGAAGATTAGCACAGGGATTTAAACCCGGACACGGCAGCCACTGAAGAGAGATCCATATGGTTTCACCAGAGTGGGGACCCCCACAGCTTTAGTAGGGAGAACCACCACTCAGCTTTGGCAGAGTGGCAACCCCTCTCCCCCCAGCTTTATGGAAGGAACCATGCGGTTTTGGCCAGAGTGGGGACCCCTGCAGCTTTGGTAGAAGAGGACCATGCTGCTTTGGGGTGCTCCCTTTGGCCACGTGGCCTGGGAAGCAGGAGAAACTTTGCCTGGAAAATAGGTACAAAGAACTCTTGCCAATAGGCCATGAGAAGGTGCCACATGGCTTTGGAGTAATTAGAGATCCTGCCTGGACAGTGACACAGCTGATGGTGCCAGTGGCCTGAAACACAGACGTTTGCTTCTTTTCTGGAGTTATGGTACCTAAATTAGGGCAGGGAGAGAAGGAAGCAGTGTGGGCACCTGAGGGTATCCAGAAAGGACTTTGATATTTTAATGAAGACATTAGGTCACTACTTTAAGTCTGTATAGCATTAAATAAACATTTCTTTTCCTTTTCACAAATCTCTGGCATTGAGAGAAGTCTTTCCTATTGGCGACAGACAATCAAACCTAGTGGGGGGTCCTTTCAGTAATTGTATATCGTGCCCCCCCACCCCCTGTGTGTTACATGGCAAGAAATGACTTTCAATCAGAAATAAATTTTAACAAATATATCTTTCTCCAGTCTTTTGAGAACATGCTAAAATGGGGATGGGTTTCATTTGCAAAGCACAGCAAAACTTTTTTTTTTTAAAAAAAGCCTTTTTCCTCATTGTCAGTGCCTCTCACATGCCTGGAGGCAGCTCTTGAAGCATCTCTTTCCTCTTTTTCTTCTCCTAAAGCCTTCTCTAAGCAGCCTGCCCATCTCTTCTCTCTAATTCATATTGTCCCTGTATTGATTTTCTAAAGCTGCTGTAACAGATTATCACAAACTTGGTGGTTTAACACAATATATATTCATTCTTTTGCAGTTCTGGAGGCCACAGGTTTGAAATCAATCTCACTGGGCTAAAGTCAAGGTGTTGTTCAGGCTGGTTCTTCTGGAGGATCCAGGGGAGAATCCATTTTCTTGTGTTTCCAAAACTTCTGGTGGCTGCTAACATCCTTTGGCTTGTCACCACTCCCATCTTTGCTTCTGTAGTCACACTGCCTTCTCCACTCCTGTTGTTGAATCTCCCTCTACCTTTCTCTGATAAGGGCACTTACAGGGACATTTAGAACCCATATTGATAATCTAGGATGGTTCTACTTCCTTAAAATCCTTAACTAACCACACCTTCAAGCATCCACAATCATTTGCACAGTCCCTTTGAGGTAATATAAGGTAATTTATAGCTTCCAGGGATTAGGACTTAGGTCTATTTCATGGATGATTATTTAGCCTATTTACAGTCCCCTAGCCATCATGGTTTGGGGGGAGGGTGAGAAACCCCTCTAAATCTTTCCTTCCACTCTCTACATGGGTCTTTATATTTAGGATTACCTATCCCCTGCTCTAACAATTTCTTTCTGAAACTCCATACCTTTCCTTGACAAAATTCCAAT